GTTGATAATTTTCTTTCCATGAAACAATGGGGCATCCTTACGTTCCTAACACATTACCCAATCCATATCAGTATAGATATCCAGCATGATATTTTTCCCCATTGAGATCTGATGTGTTTTCAAATTGTTCCTTTAATTTTTTTGAGCAGTGTATATTTTTTCTACAGTGTGCTCAGACCTGTGCTTGGCATGTACATTGTGTTGCACTGCAGTGCAGGTGTTTTGCCTGTTACTGTAATAGTGGTATAGTGTGTCATCTACATAGAATAGTACTACAATACACCACACTGCAGTTTAATGTTACCTTATATCGTGGTAACTTGTGGTAATATGCATGTTTCATTGTGTGTTACTGCAACATGAAGATATCAACTTTGCCTCAAAGGAAGTCAGATGATTATCATGAACGCCAAGCAACTAACATTTTCAGGAGAAGAACTTGGTAACATTACAGGAAAAAATGTAAGCCATGTCAAAAATAATATAAAAAATAATATCCATCATTTCCAATTTAGCAGCCTCCATTTCCACAGCAACAAAAATTTTAAACCAGTGAACAATTTAATTAGTATATATTAGCTTATAGTATAAAAAACCACAAAAAACAGAACAAATTATGTTGTTTGAAATGATATATATTGCGACTGCTTTGCACTTTACCTAAAACAATTTACTGAATTGTACTGAATGACTAAATTCCCACAGCACACAATAGAAATGCTAAATTTTTTCATTATTGCGCAGCAATAATCGGTTTATGTTTCCTTCAAGGACTTCCTGTCTGACAATAAATAGGGAAAGTAACAAAACATTTAAAATGGTGCCATCTAGTTTTAATAGCTTGATTAGATGAAAGAGTGTGGCCTTTAAAAATATAAACAATTTTTGAAAAGCACAGAATGATTCACTGTTTATTGCAATTCGATTCAAATACATTTTCTTTTGCTTATCAATGGTCAGTGTGCAGCTTATTTATAAAATAAGCAGAAGCAAATAAAAAGTCTGTTTCCCCTTAAAGGCATAATCCAGTGCAGGGGCGGACTGACAAATCATGGGACCCCCCGGGCAATGGGGGATCATGGGGCCCCTATGTCCTTGCCCACACTCAAAAAAAGCCTATAAAAGGTACCAGGGGCATTTCATGGGGCCCCCTACTGACACCGGGCCCTCGGGCAGTGCCCGAGTGCTCGAATGATCAGTCCGCCCCTGATCCAGTGCATTTCTTTGTATTCAATCCTGCAGAGCAGTACATCATATGTGCAATGGGCAGGCTTCTAGACCGAGGCGGATATATTAGTACAGACCTTTTGGTATGGGGCTGGAGGAAGTAAACAGTGGACTACAAGGGCAGTGTACTAACTGGTATGATCTGTAAGTCCCTATGACACAGTGGCACATTGCACTTTTAATCTTTATATTCACATCCCTGCAAATGGATGACAAGGCAAAGCCATGTACAGCTGTGCTAGATTAAATAAAACTACAGGACACTGCAAAAAGCAACACCCTGTCATTTAGGTAAGTTGTTTGGGTGGTTCGAGGGTGGGGTGTATGGGAATGCAACTGTTTCACCCTAAATATGGGTGTAACATAAAACATTACCAAAAAAGTGGATTATATTTGTAAGCAATCAATTAGATAATATTATAATTTCTATACTGCACTAGAACATATCTTGAATTTTACTGGTTATATGAATACATTTGAGCATGGGAAGAATGTGCACCCACCGCCACCACCGCAGAGCACCACAACAACCACATTAAAATTCTAATTTCTAATTATGTCAGAACTGCCACTAATGACTGTTGGTGTAATATTCTAGAAGCAGTTGATGAGGATATAGAAGCAGAGATCACAGATATAATGAAGCAAAGAGATGATGTAGGCAGTGCATGTCCTCAGGTACAGATTTCTCTCCAGCCAGAAGAGTGAGCAGCACAGTAGCGATATCACTGATTACCAAATCTTACTTTTAATCTTGTGAGATTAGCAGTCAGAGGCAGAAGAGACGTAGAAGGTCTTATACTGCAAATATAATGTGGACCTTAATTATAAAGTGCATTTTAACTCAAGACTGAAGATTTACTATGTAACCTGGAAATGTTTGCTTTTGTCTGAATTCCTCCTGAAAAAGTAGTGCACTTCCTGGTATGGGACTGCTGGTTTCAAGAAGTTTCAGGAAATGAGACTTTCATTACTGCTGCTGTTCTTCTAGCTGGAGGTTATAACATGAGGAATCAAAACCCTGCCTCTGTCAAGATGGCCTCATTCACAAAGAAACAAAATGAAAAACAAGGCATGGTAATGGTGAAAACGTTCAGGTGCAGGGAGACCACAGGCAATATTAATGACTAGTCCTTTGCCCTCGGTTTGCCTTTTTTTTGCACAGCTTCCACAGTTTAGTTCCTCTTTAGGTTTTAAGGTCAGGATGGGAAGTTAGCTTTAGGGTTAGTTTTAATGTAAAATCAGAAGTAGGTTATAATTTTAAGTGAAAGTAAACCCATTTTTTGTTTCTTTTACCTACAGGTAATCTTATAATAAAGCTTACCTTTAGGTAAAATGAATATCTCCAAAACTTACATAATTTAGGAGATATTCACTCTTTTTGACAGCCAGCGCATATGCTTTGAAGGAACGGCAGACCCGTGCCATTCCTTCAGAGCACTGTGCCATGGCCCAAGACTCCCACACGCATGTTTGGGAGTGGCATCACCGCGGCTCAGCCAGTCAGACTGCCAGAGCTTGCAAACCCCGAAGGAAGACCAGGTGAAGATGGAAGCCTCTGCAGAGGGGACAGTGCCCCGATGGAGGACTTCATTTTAAGGTAAGTCCTTCATAATGTGCTAGTATGCGATGCATACTAGTACATTATGCCTTTACCTTGCAGGTGAATTTTTTTTTTTCATGCTGCAGTTTACTACCGCTTTTAAAGTGTATGCATAGCCACAAATTGTTTTTTTAGATAGAGTTGGAAATGGGTTAAACCCCTTTTAGATTATTTGTTTGTTGTTTGTGTACCAAAGGATGCAAAGTGAGGAGAATTTCCACAAATGTCCCCTTTAGAAGATTTCCCTAACCTCTTGATTTGGGAAAAGCTCTTTCTTGAAAAAGCCTTGCTTCACACCAAGCAACACTTTTATGATAAAAGCAGCAATGCCCTCTTTGTGTAGAAGTTGCAAGAAAGGAAGCAAATAGTTCTTCCCCACCTGTCCCTACGTGGGTTAAAGGGAAAAGAGCTATTTGACCTATGCAATTTGGGTCATAGAAGGAGGTGAGAGTATAACTGTATGTCTCTGGTGGAGGAGCACATCTAAGAATATACAGTATGTGGATACAAGGAAAAAGGAGCACTTGTCTGGCACAAAGTTTTTATATATATGTACAGATATTATCACATATGAAGGACTAAAAGTTGTGGTCATTATAACATTCACAAGTGTTTAAGTATATGTGTTTTGATGCACTTAGTAGATTGAATACAGTATTGGAGATATACACTTGGCACTAATATAAGATATCACCATATTGTAATTGAATGTTTTTAAAAATTACCTTTCAATCTGCAGCACTGTAATTGTCTGTAAAATGTGATGCAATATAACAACCTGGAGGTGTTCTGTACACAGTTGTTGTACAGAACGTCCCCTGAAAATGTAATTTCCTGCTTGAGTCATTGGCTTACTGATTTTCCCAGAAGTCTGCACTAAGGTACAAGTCACATTTTTGGCATCCCTGCAACAAAAATGTAATTTTTGGTGAGATACTGCCACAGGGAAAGCACATCTAAAGGGATGCAGACCCTACCAATTTCCTCATTAAAGCCCTGCAAGTGCAGCTGATTGATAATTATGAAACCACTCCCATACTAATTCACACATGGACAAAGACAAACAAACAGCTATTAATTCAGAATAGCAAAAGGTAGGAGTCTGCAACAAAGTTTGTTAAAATCCTTGGAATGTACATACAGTATATCACCAAGAGGGGATGTTTTTTTCCTGCATTCCTTCAAATCTTCCTCTTCCAGTGAACCTTTACCCCATCAGAAGTTTTACAGTGGTGGGGTTTAATATAGCTGTGGGAGCTATGACATGCACTCATCAAGAGTTCCTGACTACTTTCGTCCTTTCTGCCCAGCTCCTCCATTCATAGAAGCTGTTCTATAGCTTTTATGAATGAACCATAATTTACGAATAGAAAACAGGCTGTTGATTGAAAGTTCTGTCCCCTCCATTTATAGATCCTGTTTCATTCATAAAAGCTATAGTATGGCTTCTATGAATGGCGGAGGTGAACGGAAATAGCAGACAAAGTCAGGAACTCTTGATGAGAGTCTGTCACAGATCTCTCAGCTCTATTAATCTCATTCACATGTGAAGATTGTAGTGAAAGGGGTGGAGGGGGATCAGTGGAGGAAGATTTCAAGGAATGCAGGAGACAGAAGCACAAGGAACATAAGGGACACAGATTAATAGCAACCTATGTCCCTTGTAATATTTTTTTTTTTTGTTTGTATGTGATTAACTTAACTTGGGCTTTAAAGTAATAGTAAACTCTCGTTTTATTTTTGCCTACAAGCAAGCTTTTAATAAACCTTATATGTAGGTAAGATGAATATCTCCTAAACGTTTACCCTTTGGGACATATTCTACATAGCAGCAGCCAGTGACATCACCAGAGCATGGAACAGCATACCCATCACGTTCCTTCAGAGCTGTGTGCAATGGCATGGGAGTAACATCATTGGTGGCTCAGCATTTCAAGCAGCTACAGCCCGGGAAACCGGAAGGGTTTCGTTCTAAGGTACCATATTTTTTACTACATAAGAAGCACTTCCCCCCCCAAAAAAAAAATGGGGGAAAATGTCTGTGCATCTTATGGAGTGAATATGGAGTGGTCGGCCCGGTATTCCCCCTCGTCGTCGCCGCCGCCGCGTTACAATACCTGGCTGCTCTCTCGCCTCTTCTGTGCACCAGCACCTGCTTCTCAGTCCTACATGTTCCTCGGTCCAGTGGTGTCCTCATCACTGCTGGTTTCACCAGCAGTCTTCTCTCCCCAGCGCCGGCATCTTTAGTGTGGGTACCTTGGTGTGAGAGCATGTGGCTTCACAGTTGGGAGCCCACTGAGCACGTGTGAGAAGTGCTGCGCTTTGTGAATGGCCCCGTAGTCTTCTGGGACCTGTCACATGTCCCAGAAGACTACGGGGGGAGGACAACTTCTGCTTCCGATCGCCTAGGTGATCGCAGCGGAAGTGGGAGCGGGTACCTGTCAAATTCAGGTACCCACTCCCCAGTCTCTGGTCATCTCCTGTACTATGTCCGCAGTCTCTGGTCATCCTCTGTACTATGTCCGCAGTCTCTGATCATCTCCTGTACTATGTCCGCAGTCTCTGGTAATCTCCTGTAGTTTGTCCGCAGTCTCTGGTCATCTACTGTAGTACATCCACAGTCTCTGGTCATCTCCTGTACTATGTCCGCAGTCTCTGGTCATCTCCTGTACTATGTCCGCAGTCTCTGGTCATCTCCTGTACTATGTCCGCAGTCTCTGGTCATCTCCTGTACTATGTCCGCAGTCTCTGGTCATCTCCTGTACTGTGTCTGCAGTCTCTGGTCATCTCCTGTACTATGTCTGCAGTCTCTGGTCATCTCCTGTAGTACGTCCGCAGTCTCTGGTCAACGCCTGTAGTACGTCCGCAGTCTCTGATCATCTCCTGTAGTATGTCTGCAGTCTCTGGACATCTCCTGTACTATGTCCGCAGTCTCTGGTCATCTCCTGTACTATGTCTGCAGTCTCTGGTCATCTCCTGTAGTACACCCGCAGTCTCTGGTCATCTCCTGTAGTATGTCTGCAGTCTCTGGACATCTCCTGTACTATGTCCGCAGTCTCTGGTCATCTCCTGTACCATGTCTGTAGTTTCTGGTCATCTTCTGTACTATGTCTTCAGTTTCTGGTCATCTCCTGTACTATGTCTGCAGTTTCTGGTCATCTCCTGTAGTACATCCGCAGTCTCTGGATATTTTCTGTACTATGTCTGCAGTCCATTGCTTCAGGCTATTTTTTTTCTTGTTTTTCTCCTCTAAAACTACATGCGTCTTATGGTCAGGTGCATCTTATGGAGCGAAAAATACGGTAAATCTTTCATAATGTAAGCGATGCATACTACAGTAGCTCATAATGATTTTTTTTTGTTCAACGAGTTTACTACCACTTTAATTCAAATTGCATGGTGCTTTAAAGGTTCATTCTTATTAACATGACCAGTTCTTGCCAGAGAGATGTATTGGGAGTAGGCCAGCTAAAACTGAGTTGTTGAGGATCAGAGTTCTTCATACTGAGAGTGAGCATTGGAATGACAGACTCTGCACTAAAACCACTTGAAGCTTGACCTGGGAACTAATTCTACTGACACCCAGGGAAAGAGAGGAGGCATACTGGGTGGTATAGATATATATACATACACACTATGTTTCCAAAAGTATTGGGGCACCCCTCCAAATCATTCATGAGAGCGACTCATTCTCTCACAAATGAAAAGGCCTCTCTCTGTCACTATATATATCTCTATATATATATATATATATCTATATATATATATATATATATATCTATATATATATATATATATATATATATATATATATATATATTAGATAGATAGATAGATAGATAGATAGATAGATAGATAGATAGATACAGTCAAGTCCATAAATATTGGGACATCGACACAATTCTAACATTTTTGGCTCTATACACCATCACAATGGATATGAAATGAAACGAACAAGATGTGCTTTAACTGCAGACTGTCAGCTTTAATTTGAGGGTATTTACATCTAAATCAGGTGAACGGTGTAGGAATTACAACAGTTTACATATGTGCCTCCCACTTGTTAAGGGACCAAAAGTAATGGGACAGAATAATAATCATAAATCAAACTTTCACTTTTTAATACTTGGTTGCAAATCCTTTGCAGTCAATTACAGCCTGAAGTCTGGAATGCATAGACATCACCAGACGCTGGGTTTCATCCCTGGTGATCCCTCTGCCAGGCTTCTGCTGCAACTGTCTTCAGTTCTTGCTTGTTCTTGGGGCATTTTCCCTTCAGTTTTGTCTTCAGCAAGTGAAATGCATGCTCAATCGGATTCAGGTCAGGTGATTGACTTGGCCATTGCATAACATTCCACTTCTTTCCCTTAAAAAACTCTTTGGTTGCTTTTGCAGTATGCTTTGGTTCATTGTCCATCTGCACTCTGAAGCGGCATCCAATGAGTTCTGAAGCATTTGGCTGAATATGAGCAGATAATATTGCCCAAAACACTACAGAATTCATCCTGCTGCTTTTATCAGCAGTCACATCATCAATAAATACAAGAGAACCAGTTCCATTGGCAGCCATACATGCCCACGCCATGACACTACCACCACCATGCTTCACTGATGAGGTGGTATGCTTAGGATCATGAGCAGTTCCTTTCCTTCTCCATACTCTTCTCTTCCCATCACTCTGGTACAAGTTGATCTTGGTCTTATCTGTCCATAGGATGTTGTTCTAGAACTGTGAAGGCTTTTTTAGATGTCTTTTGGCAAACTCTAATGTGGCCTTCCTGTTTTTGAGGCTCACCAATGGTTTCCATCTTGTGGTGAACCCTCTGTATTCACTCTGGTGAAGTCTTCTCTTAATTGTTGACTTTGACACACATACACCTACCTCCTGGAGAGTATTCTTGATCTGGCCAACTGTCGTGAAAGGGTGTTTTCTTCACCAGGTAAAGAATTCTTCGGTCATCCACCACAGTTGTTTTCCGTGGTCTTCCGGGTCTTTTGGTGTTGCTGAGCTCACCGGTGCTTCCTTCTTTTTAAGAATGTTCCAAACAGTTGTTTTGGCCACGCCTAATGTTTTTGCTATCTCTCTGATGGGTTTGTTTTGTTTTTTCAGCCTAATGATGGCTTGCTTCACTGATAGTGACAGCTCTTTGGATCTCATCTTGAGAGTTGACAGCAACAGATTCCAAATGCAAATAGCACACTTGAAATAAACTCTGGACTTTTTATCCTCTCATTGTAATTGGGATAATGAGGGAATAACACACACCTGGCCATTGAACAGCTGAGAAGCCAATTGTCCCATTACTTTTGGTCCCTTAACAAGTGGGAGGCACATATGCAAACTGTTGTAATCCCTACATCGTTCACCTGATTTGGATGTAAATTTATCCACCACTGTCCACTTCAGAGCCAAAAATAGCAATTTGTTTGAAGGGTAGTTCTTCTCAGGAACTGTAAGTCTTCTGCTCACATAAGCAAGAGGCCACAGGTGTCCATCGTGCTCTTGATACAACACCCCTCCTAATCCATCTCGACTGGCATTGGCATGCACTTCATATGATTTGGCTGGCTCAGTATAGGCTAGGACAGGAGCAAACAGTAAGCTCCATTTTGTGATGCTTTTGTGATAATTAATTATAAATAAATCGGGTGGTGTCCAACTCCCGTACATAATTATGACACAGTGCCTCCAGCCGTTAAGGAAAATAATTTAATTAACAATATTAAATAATATAGACACCTGAATAAAAATATCACCACACTGTAATTTTTCTTGAGTTCTTTTACCAATGTGATTTCTTTACCAAATATACACATATTGCCAATTTGATTAATAAATAAATTGTTTATTTATGTACAAAACATATTTATATATATTTTAATACACACTAATATACTGGTGATGAGTATTTCCTACACACAATCAATGAATACCCCACAATAAATTTCAATTAGGTCAATCACAAAATATATATTATAACAGAGTAAAATAACAAAACCTTGATCTTCAAGTGATTAGCAAATATCAGTTGTTAGTATTCAGTATATAATTTCCAATTCCCGCGGTCGGAGAGAATTAGGGAAATATTCCTGATATAATACACACTGAAACACTTCAAATATTTCTTAAGAACAATGCAATTACAGTATACCAATATAGAGGAAAAAAAATAACTATTCTACTACCAAAACAACCTAATACAGTAATTTAGCAACCAATCTCCCTATACACCATCCATTCTCGAGGGTTCAATCAGATCAATGCAATTTCGAAGTAATTAGCAGTATATATATATATCACTATGCACGATATCAGCACTACAGCACAACAGAAATATTAGTCAAGTTCTAGTAAATTTTGAATGAATAAAAGTTTTGATACTTGGCCACAATATCTCACCACTCCCAAATATACCATTCTCTGAGATCTTTGGGTGGAACAGCAGGCTGGTAAAAATGTTGTTTCTCTTCAAGCAGCAGTCTCTCTGATCAGCAGAAGTCCTCTTCTTCTCAGAAAGCAAGCAAAAGTTGCGTTAGCAGGCAAAAAGTATCTCCAGTCAGATTTTTAAGTACGTTTTTTAGGGTTTTCCAGGTTTTTCTTTAAGGGTTTTTCAAGCGTCTCCTTTTTCTTTACAAGTTTTTTCAAGCGTTTTTTTAAGTCTCTTTTCCTGCATATATATACTGTGAAGATCCATTGTCTGCTGGATCCACCCATGGTACATGACGATTGGACAGCCAAGAATGCCGTTTATTCTGGATGTTCTTTACCTGTCCACTAGAGGCAGTCATGTTCCATGAATGAAAATGTAATCACTTGGTTATGAGTAATCTCCCAGCTTGTGTATAATCTTAAGAAGTATTGTATTGTTAAAATATATGTCTTGATGAAATATTAAAGTGGCTCTCATCGATATCCCTCTCGATAATGTCCATTTGTTGGAGTTGGTTCAAGTATGTGGACTATCCTTATTAGATGAGAATTATATTTTTATGGTTGCCAAGTATTCTGAAAATGGTAAATATTAAGAGAATATTTCCATAATTTATTATGGCATTTTATCGGATGATGCTCATGCGTTATTTCAGTCCATCATATCATATATCTCATATCTCTCCACACTCTAATGTAGGTACATATTGTTGGGAAGTAATTTGTTTTAATATCTCTCAAACAGTCTACCCAAATCACAATCCATATCATATGTCATTATAACTTGTTGATATTTGGTTAATTCTTTTTATGCTTTTGTAGTTGCAAAATTTATTAAATTGATTCCTGTGGTTATAATATATACAGTATGAATATGTCAGCTGAGTATTTTGCTGAAGTTACGACTTTGGTTCCCATGAAGTGAATTGCATAGTTTCACAGTCTCTGTAAACACCTGAGGAGTGTAGGAGTAGCTAGGGGTATTGTCTGTGTGCTCATTGATAAACATTCATTTGATCTCCCTGTAGAGATTTGACTCTGTTAATAATGGGCGTCAAGGTTCCAGACATAGGCTAATATCCTTTTCGTGAATGAACAATTGTAACATCCATTTGAGGTTTTACTTAGTATATAAAGTCATTTGAGAAGAGCTATCTTCAGGGTCCCTTATGATCTTTACTTGTTATATTTCTCAAAATTCAGGTATCCAGATGCTGTGTTCTCACAATGACCATTTATGACTTTTGGTCAACACTAGCCAGGCTGTTGTCGAGTCAGGGCTGTGTGACTTAATTGTATTCCTAAATAGGTCATCTATATTCAGTCAACCATTGTGAATGTATTTTGTTTGAAATGGTCTATTGTAAAGAGCAGACACTTCTGTTCCCGAGAAATTGCTGGTGTTTCATAACTTGTTTTATTGAGTGGTATTTCTTTGGTA